GGGGGGGGAAGAGAGAGAGTGAGTGTGAGTGTGTGGATATAGATAGATACAGAGAAATAATTTAGCAACAAGCCACCCACCCACCTGACCATTTGGTCCTTCTAATTCGCTGAATAGAGAACTTGAACAGAACATTAGCAAGACAAGCAGGCACCATTCTTCTCATTCTGAAGAATAAAGAATGCTATAATACAGGGAGGCTAAACTTGCTGGCCACCCCCCACAAGCTGCATAAAATAATCTTAAGAAGTTCAAGAGTTGGCATCTCAGAGGGGTTGTGCCTGTCAGGGTTTCAGCTCTGTAGGGAGCAGAGTGGAAGGGGAGGTGTTGAGACCCTCAGGAGTTATATGCTGGAGTTTGAGGCTTCACCCTGTGGGGAAGGGAAGGGGGTGGGTCACAGGGCTACAGCACTGCAGGAGAACCCTGCCCAAGCTAAGGGCTTCAGACCATTCCTGGGGAAGTTCCATGCCCTGGCAAGCACATACTGCAGGGCTGAAACCCCAAGTCTCCCCATCCCATTAGACAGACAGCATAGGCAAAAAATAAGTAGCATAAGGGTCATGTCCCTCCCCCCAGGGTTTGCTGCCAGACCCCCTGCATACACAGCAGCTGCTGGAACCAGCAAGCTGTAAGCTGCAGCCCTGGGGAAAGGCAGCGGGAAAACAGCTGGCAATGGCTGTTTTGCATATGGACCAAATATCTGGGAGCTGCAGGAAGGGGCTACTGAGAGTTAGAGGGATAATAACTGGGGGGAGGGGAACAATTTAAAACTTGGGAGTTATGCTCCCCATCTTTCAGTAGGCACCAGCTGTCTCTGGCAGAAGCCCCAAGCTTCCCCCCAGTTTGGAGACGTGGAGGTATCCACTATGGTCCACATGTAACTATAAAAAAGCTGCCTGCAGCTCGTGAGCCACACTTTGGTCAAGCCTGCCATAATACAATTCTATTATAGCAGCCTTATCCAGTTATGTGATTAAGGTACAGCTGTAATAAAACGTAATATTGAAAACTGCCAAATCATTTTATGTGCAAAGGTAACAAAAAGTTAACTAATAAGTTGCCCAAATAAATCCAAGAGCAGGATCAATAAAAAGCCACCAATTTCCCAGTGTACTTTGTGGTACATAACTGATTACTAATTGCATATCTGTTAGCATTTCACTGTTATACTAAATGTATTTTATGCAAATGTGAGCTCTATAAAGTTTGTTTTTGAGTGTCCTGAAATCTTAAATTAAAAGCATACAGATTATCTTCTCTCAAACTACTTGACTTTCAAATGTGTTAATTACAAAATTTAAGTGGGAGGAAAAGAATAGATTTTTTCAGTTTATTATGAGGAAAATACTATTTCTGCATTTGATAAGTTAGTTATCATAAAAATCTCCTATTTCCACTTTTAATATACTATTTCTGCATTTGATAAGTTAGGAGATTTTTATGATAACTATTTCCACTTTTAATAATATATGGAATTTTTATAAAGTTGTTTCGTTGACTAGATTTTATCAAATTATAAAGTGATTCAACAACAATGTTAGCTACTTTGGGCGAGTTGAATGCCAAAGCATCAACTCACCTAGAATTGAGTTAGTAGATGCTTACTTCTGAAGTCCACCAATCGAGTGAAGTTTTGACTAACCATAGAAACAGCCTAGCCAATTACATCAGTTTATGGAACTGAACACAGTCTCTCTCCCACAGAAACAAAGGCAACAGCATGGCCCGATCAGCTACTGCATTAAAGAAAATATTCTTTTAAATCGTTTCCATGTTTTACCAGCAGAAGAACACTTATATAAAAGTTACTGCAGATTAACTTGTGTGCATATTTACAGCAATATCCCAGCAGTTTCACTGCGGTCATGACAAAATTTCCTTGATAAGCCTTTTTTCAGGTATTCAAGATACTCTGAGATCATCTGTTTTTAATCATTTTTAAAAGATATTAGAGGTTTCAGTCAGAGATGCTTCTTTAGGTCTTTGTAATGTTTTAGATCTTTGCATGAGGAAAGACCAGGTAACTTACAGTAATCAAATTATTAAAAATCCACAGGAACATATACCTCATTCACTTCCTTCTGAACATGAATGCAGATGCATATAAATCTAAGCAGAATGACAACTGCTTTGAGTTTCACAAGCTTGTCTACAAACAGCCACACAAATTCATTTAAATTAGGCCTAAACATAAATCCATCTTCCACTAAGATTTACCTGCAAAGCACCAATAGCAGCGCTCTGGAAGCGCAGATCTGTTTTGAAGTCCTGAGCAATTTCACGCACCAGACGCTGGAAGGGAAGTTTGCGGATCAGAAGTTCGGTAGATTTCTGATAACGTCTGATTTCACGGAGAGCCACAGTACCCGGCCTTTTAATTAATAAAAAAATTAACATATATTGTGTATCATTTTAGAATATCAAATAACCTATGCTCTTCTAATTTGAACAATGAAATGTTTGTAAAGCTTTCCAGTAAAAACAAACAGCCCAGTATTTACAACAAAATCTCTCATTTACATATCAGCTAGGCATTCCACCTATAGATAAGTGACAAGAGACAAGCCCTCAAAAAGCCTTATTCTCAGCGTGAAAAAGGGTGTAAAACACATTAGCCAATTTAACTCAGAGTATACACATTGTAGTGTTAGCATAAGTAATCTGGTCAAATTAAGCCCTACCCCCCAACCCAAGGATTTATCTCAGCCAGCTAATTGTCAAAAATATGTACCTCCTTCCCTCTGTAGATCTGACCATAAAAATGGCATTGAAAAACATCATGTCCTTGGTCATATTTTATCCTGTGAACTTAAATTCTCATGTAATTGTCTTACATTAGTGTTTTAACAAAAAAAATTACATTAATACCTTTTTTTGTGAACAGTTCCTTTCTGGCATCAACACTGGGTATATTTCATGTATTATGCAAATTTTGGGGGTTTGGTCTAAGTTACTTACTAATTTGTAGTACTGATTTCCACCACCCTCTTGTCATCTGTATTTTCTAGTACTAATTATGGACCACGAATGCAGACAAAAACATTCTTAAAATATGCATTTACAGTGTTTCAAGATTACATTCACTTTCCCAAATGTAGTTCTACTCTTCTCAAAAGGAACACACACTTGAATAACTAATGACCATTCCTAAAGATGAAGAATTGCATGTTAAAACTCTTGATTGTGCAAGAATCCTTACGGATGAAAGAGTTTATTACAACATAATTGCCAGCAAGAGATTTACCTGTAATTCTAATCTATTTCCTCCTCTATTTAAGTCTTCATTTTAGGTTAACTGAACGTAAAATTATTTGCAGGGGTTCTGCTTATATGTAGACATGTTCTGCCCTCTAATGGTAGAATATCTTAACTACACTGTCAGTTCATTAAATAACAAAATAGCTGTGAAGACAGAATTGAATTGGTTTAAGTAAATTAAGATCAGTTCTATGCATTAAAGTTTGTTCCAGTCTAACTATTACAATACTTATATAAATTAGAAGATAAATTAAACAAAGTGCATATATGCTCGGATGACATTTAAGCTAAGCAAGATCTTTAATTCCATAAATATAATTTAAAATTCGTTATCTATTCAATAAAATAAGCCTATTATCAGTACAGATAAATTTAAGTCACTGTGTAAATGATAAACATAAAACATATTGTGGATTATTTAAAACTTGTTCAAAATTAAAGAATGAAATAATGAAAACACTGTAAACATCTTCCTGATCCAGAATTAAATTTAAAACCACCAAAATTCCCCCAATGCAAAAAGTTCTGCTCCGATAAACGTTTCCGTTTGGTTAAGGGGATGTTGCATCACAAGCTTTGTCCCTGGTAATTTCTGTACCTGTAGCGATGAGGTTTCTTGACCCCTCCAGTAGAGGGCGCACTCTTGCGAGCTGCTTTCGTAGCGAGCTGCTTCCTAGGTGCCTTACCACCAGTGGATTTACGGGCAGTTTGCTTGGTACGAGCCATGTTCCCGCAAACTTCTCTTCCTTACACCTACCGGTAAAAAATTACCATGCGATCACACACTACAACAAATTAGCACTAGCTCAAATGTTCCGGAAATGCAGATTTATCTTTTACCCCTTAAAAATATCGTCTAACAAAAACCAAAAGACATACAACATTGAACAATTAAAATGATCCTGATAATACCTCTGTACCATGCAAACGCCACACTTCTCACCACAGAAACGCAGACGCTAGGTAACCGCTTGCCACATTCAGCCTTCCCTTTCAGCTGCTGAATTAGGAGCAAACACACTAGCCTAAAAGCCCCATCGGCCTAATTTATCTAATTGAAAAGAAATTAAGTGTCTGAAGACCTCAGATTATTATTAAAACGCAGTTTCACCCAAGAGTTAAACATGAAAGATGCAGCAGCAAAACCTAAACAGGTCGATTCAAACAGATAAGAGATTGTTACTGCCCCCTGTAGCTCTCCCCCCGTCAGCTGAAAAGTGCTATCAATATTACCTGAAAAACATGGGGGGAGGGGGGCTTGCATCCAATTTATACTCTGCATTGAGCAAAATAAATCTCTTTCAAAACAAGTGAAGAAGGGGAAAGTAGAGAAGTAGCCCCTCGATGCTTTCTGCAAAGCAACCTGTCTATCGCAATCGCTCGGCTATGCCCGCAAATTAAAAAGCAAATACACGCAAATCTGTATTTATTCTGCAAAAGAAAAGAGCCTGACTTAAGTTCAAGAAAGCAACAAACTTTTTTGGGGGGGCTGTTTTTGGTACTGTCTCTGTCTGTCTCTGTGCAATTGCTTTTCCAAAGGCTGCCTCGCTCCCAAGCGCCTCTCACTGGCAAACTCATCTCCCAGACCCGAACAAAATGGAAACAATCACGAAATGCAGCCCTAGTCCTTTTGCAAAGAGAGGAAAAAATAAAATTGCGAAAAATAATGCAAAAAATACAAGAAACTCCAATCCATGTGGGTGCACATCAAGTGGGAAGGGGGGAAAAGTTTGCAATCCAAATGTAAAAAATTACACTGAGTTGGGGTTGTTTCTTTTGCAAATTTCTCTCATTTTTTATTGTTTTTTATGCAATAGGAAAAAAATATGGTCGGTGACCAGAGAAAAGAGACAAGATGGTGAAGCTGAGCAACAACTGTGGGGAGCAAGAGAAGGAAGGCAAGAGAGTTACCCTGGGCTGGCAAGTGGCTCCTCTTTGCAGCTGCTTCCCAGCCCTGATCCGGGGAGATGTTGGGCTCAGGAGTTTCTCTCATTTTTTATTGTTTTTTATGCAATAGGAAAAAAATATGGTCGGTGACCAGAGAAAAGAGACAAGATGGTGAAGCTGAGCAACAACTGTGGGGAGCAAGAGAAGGAAGGCAAGAGAGTTACCCTGGGCTGGCAAGTGGCTCCTCTTTGCAGCTGCTTCCCAGCCCTGATCCGGGGAGATGTTGGGCTCAGGAGGTAGCTAAGGGGCTGGGGAGGGTGCTGGTGGGGGTTTGGAGAGGGGGGACGGGGGGCACAGGGGGGCAATGATCGAGCGAAGAGGGGCTGGGGGTGCTGGGGAAGGGAGCAGCTCAGGCTCCTTGGCCGGGC